CCCGAGCTTCGAGTGCCACCTATCTGCCTGACCCGCGAATGCTCTCTGCCTAGCTGGGCTAGTTGGGCACCCCAGCGCCTGACGGATTCAGGAATTTGGGGTCTTCTGCGCCCCTGGTCATCCGGCCATCCCCAATCCGCACCCCCATCAGAAGCCCCCATTCCCATTTCCCCTCCACTCCCATTGGAAGAAGAACCACTCTTTGTACCCTGGGTATCAGTTTCATTCCTGTATGGGCCTCAGATGAGAAAAACAGTCTTCTCGGGATTTCTAAGGAATGTTTGGTCCTCAAGGACAGGACATCCTCCCTTCACTGAGTAGAAATGTGTGGACTCGGCATGGGGCTCCGCCCAGCTGGGGATAACCTGGATTTAGGAGCAGTACATGAGTCTCCTTCGAACACTGTTTCCATGGGCATACATCACACTCTGCCTGGTTCCAACTACTCTTTGTAGGCATGTTCGGTTTTTCATACTTTAGAATTCTGCAAGTTTTCGTTTTCTCCCTTTTTATCCTGGCCGCGTCTACAGGGGCAAAACAAGGCCAGGAGCCTGCAACTATCGCACCCGTTTGGCCCCCGGTGGTGGTCAGCTACCAAGGCCTGCAGGGCCTAGCGACGTGCTGATTTGGCGCGTTGTTGGGTGATAAATGCGGGTACCAGCCAGAGCCCTCCGGCCCCGCCTGGCCGCCGGTGGGGAAGGTCTGCTCTAAGCCGGGCTGCGCTGGCATCTGAGACCGGCTGAGGGGAGGGGCTGGGGTCACCTTTTGCTGTGCTTTGAGCCGCGAGTAGAGGCGTCCGGGTTCCTGCTGACCTCCCGGCGCTAATTGCAGGGGCTGAAGGGCGCGCTTGGGCAGAGGCAGGGGTCACGACCCTGCACTCCCCACTCCCAGGTCTAGGCAGCCCTGAAGGAGCAAGGGCCTGTGTGCAAATGGGCTAGTGTGCAGGCTTGCAGAGGGCCTGTCTCTGGGTCCGCAGTGTTCTGGGACCCACCAATTTTTGTGGGAGGAAAGTTCCCAAAGAGAATCGGGCCCTTCAAAAAATTCCATCCTGGAAAACCCATGTTCCAATCATTCCCCTGAAGTCAACAGACAACCACCTTCCAGGTTGCAAAAGGCTTGTAATGCCTCATGTCCATACACTTTCCACCCCACTAGTTTCTAAATTTGATCTCCTGGCAGCCAGCCAAGAAAACAGCTGTTGGGATGTCACCCTGACCCTTTACCCCAGCAGTAGCTGGGGCTCCTCTGAATGTAGTCATAGCTAAGGGTAGCTGTCAGAGCACTGATTCTATGGCCAGGAGCTGCAGGTGTTAGAAGAACATGTGTGTGTTTGCATGTACTTGTGTGCTCTCCATCTGTGGGCGTCTCTTCCAATTTAGATTTAGAAATTCATGCGCAAGACAGTTCCGGATGTAAATGCATTTGGTTGTTTTATAATCAAGATGCGTATAATCCACAAGTATATGTTGCAGATGTGGGCGTTCAAAGTACACATAATAACCACGATAGAAATCGCTGGCGTACAAGGGGCACGTGTAAGGGGCTGGGCACTGATGAAGCACCCCATGAAAGTAACCTCACAATTAACCCTGTAAGGTATGTTCAATTTTCAGGCCCGTTGTACAAAGCAGGAAACAAAGGGACAGAATAATTGAATCATTTACTCAAGATGGGGGCAGAGGATGATCAGAAGACCAATCAACTGTAGAAATCACAGGTGTTGGCACCTGTCCCGGATGTAGAGAATTCAGAATTCAGGGGTGTGCTGGGAGCCTGCATCCTGCATTCTTAATTGTAACTTCCATGTGACTCTGCTGTGTAACCTGAATGTACTTTGGTTGTAGATGGCCCCTTTCCTCTGGGGGTGGGGTGGGGGGAGTTTTGTTTCCAGGTGCATGAAAGTCCCCCTTACTTAAAATGCCCTCAGCCAGGTCCCAGGGCAGGTATCTTATTGTGTGGTTGTTGGGGTCTGAGTTGGAGAGAAGCTGTGTCCCTGTCAGAGAAGGAAATTAGCACCACGCGGTTGTGAACCAGGACCAGCAAGGCTACCAGGCTTACTACACTACACGGAAACCATCCCCTGCTAGGTCAGGGAGCAAGCTGTGTGTCCCAGGCTTTCCAACTCAGATCCCCTGGAATCTTGAGCATTTAGAGTTGGTCTGTCTATTCTGGCTCAAACGGTGGGCTCTGGACAGGCACTGCAGGTGGGGACAAAGTGTTTGCTTTTGGCTGGTTTATCCTGTCCAGTTTCTAGAAACCTCAGCAAATGTGGTTTTTCCGGTCCTCTATTTGCAGAGGGGTTGCCCCAGCTGGAAGCTAAGGACTCAGCTAGTGGGAAGAAGGTTCTACTGAGAAGCCACAGATCGACCTGGTTTGGAGGATGCAGTTCCTGTCCCCTGGGCAACCATATGCGGCTGGCACCCGGAGGGCTCGGGCTCAGATCGGGCTGCAGACTGGGTAGCTGTGAAAACAAATTGCTTGGTTAGGGAATAGCGCCTGAGCCCCAACGTAAGGTGCCTGGGATGCAATCTGGAGGCCTTTGTGTCCTGGATTTAGCTCTTGGAATCAGGATGACAAAAGCAGGGGACTGAAAGGGGTCTTGGAGCCTGGTACCGCCTGAACTATTCAGCTTTCTACCCTCTTCTTCCCAGCTACCTCAGCCCTAGGATCCCACGCAACCCAGTATTGGAGCTTTTGAAATGCAATCTCCCGCGCTACTTCAGTTTCCCGCTAATGACCTGGACCCTGGTTTCGGGTTGCGAACTGTCCGCGGAGGAGAGGCTGGCCTCCCCAGTCCCGCAGAGCCAACCGTGGCCTGTGAGCTCCTGCCGGTGCGGCGAGCCCAAAGGGGTTGCTTTCTCTGGTCTCCCCGAAGTCCCTAGAGTCAAGGACCCGGCAGGCACCAAACTGACACTTGGGCGCGAACTTCCTTCCCGTCTCTTTTGCCCATTGTCATTTATCTCAGTCCTCAGTGCGGGCACATCAGGAAACTTTAAAATCTCCTTATGCCGGGAAGAGGCCCCCTTCTTC